TGGTTGAGCAGTGGAATAAATTGTTTAGGGAGGTTGTGGAATCTCCATCATCACAGATACGTAAGAGCAGGTGAGACAAACACCTGCCAGGGATGATCTAGATGGTGTTTGGTCCTGCTGTGAGTGAGGTCAGGGGGCTGGATTTGATGAGCTCTTGAGGTCCCTTCTGGTTCTAGTATTCTATGATTGTATATACAAAAACAGATGCTTGTTGTTTGCCTAATACAAATGTGTATCAGGACTAGATCTACTATATATTTTAGAGAGTTTATGCGTCCGTGAGTCTGTTGTTCATGAACTCCTAAACGGTAAGAGCTAGGACCAACAAATTCAGTATGCAGCTTCCTCTTATCAGAACTTAAGCAAATTCAGGGTTTGGTTGGGCCAGGACGATGGGATGTGCAGGTAATCCTAGAATCCTATGGCTGGAATAGACTTCAGGAGTCATCGAGTCCCGCCTCCTCCCCAAAGCAGGACCAACCCCAATTAAATCACCCCAGCCAGGACTTTGTCAAGTCAAGATTTAAAAACCTCTAGGGATGGAGATTTCACCACCTCCCTAGATAACCCATTCCAGTGCTTCCCCACCCTCCTAGGGAAACCAACCTGGACCTCTCCTACTGTACCTTGAGACCATTGCTCCTTGTTCTGCCATCTGTCACTACTGAGAACAGCCTCTCTCCATCCTCTTCGGAACCTTCCTTCAGGAAGTTGAAGGCTGCTATCAAATCCCCCTCACTCTTCTCTTCTTCAGACTAAATAAATCCAAATCCCTCATCCTTTCCTCATAGGTCATGTGCTCCAGCCCCCTAGTCATTTTGGTTGGCCTCCGCTACACCCCCTCCAATGCATCCACATCCTTTCTACCATGGGGGGCCCAGAACTGGATGCAATTTTCTATATGTGGCCTCAACAATGCCAAATAAACTGCTCTATATCTGCTGGCAATGCTCCTCCTAATACCCCCCAGTATGCCATTTGCCTTCTTGGCTACAGGGGCACACTGTTGACTCATATCCAGCTTCTCATTGTTACCCCTGGGGCCTGGATAACACTCAAATATGGCCTGATAGTGAAACCCTAGTCAAAAGAAAACAGATCTGCCTCCTCCCTCAGGGTCTATGAGCTGTGAATTAGGCTGATAAAGGAAAACAGACTCCAATTAAAGATGAAAACAAGAAGAAACTGTATTAGGGATTTTATACAATACTAAGAGAAAAGCAGGGCAGAAACCTGATGCAAACTAATACCCTTTAACAAAACAGTGGAAAAACATTTGGCTATGTCTACACCGGCAGCTTCTTGTGCAAGAACAGCTGTTCTTGCGCAAAAACATGCCTGCTGTCTACACTGCACGTGCGTTCTTGCGCAAGTAAATTTACAGTAGAGCGTTGTAAAACAAGGCTTCTTCTGGAAGAGTTATTTCTCTCCCCACAAGGAATAAGCCCTCTCGTGCAAGAGCTTTTCCACAAGAGGCCAGTGTAGACAGGTAACACGAATTTCTTGCGCAAGAAGCCCCTATGGTTAAAATGGCCATCCGAGCTTTCTTGCGCAAGAGAGCGTCCACACTGCTACGGATGCTTTTGTGCAAAAGCACATCTCAGTGTGGACACGCTCTTGTGGAAGATTTTTTTGCACAAGAATTCTTCTGCCAAAGAATTCTTGTGCAAGAAGCCGCCAGCGTAGACGTAGCCTTTGTGGACACGCTCTTGTGGAAGATTTTTTTGCACAAGAATTCTTCTGCCAAAGAATTCTTGTGCAAGAAGCTGCCAGTGTTGACGTAGCCTTTATGTCCCAACTGGACTGCGTGCAGAGCCGGCCCAAGGTACGGGCCGACCGGGGCATCCCATTGTAGGGAGCGCCGCGCAGGGCTGCCGGGCCAGGTGGGGGTGGCACTGCACATGCGCCGCGTGCCCCGGGGGCGGGGCTGTGCATGCGCTGGGCACCCGGGAGCGGGGGGCGCCGCATGTCTGGGAGCATGCCAAGGTCCCGGGGCGTGTGAATGGCTCTGACCGGCTCTGACCGCGTGAAAATAATTGGTAAGTTCTACCCCAAATACAAATGGTTCCTTTACTCTTCTGGACTGGAAAGGCTGAGCCAGAGGTGTGTTGCCCAGGACCTGCAACCTTTGGGCTGCTTGTGAGGCCTCAGGGAGGAATGCTGGGGAGCCCCTTGCGGGTGGTACAGGAACCCTGATGAGGATGGCAGTCACATGACACTCGTTTAGATGGAAGACAGTGGATGGGGTGCCCTCTTCTATTCCTTTGACTGGCTTGCAGCTGGATCAGATCCCTTAGTGGTCTCAGAAGAGAGCTGATAACGCGCGCAAACGCTGCCACTCAGATGGACAGCACCCCCCATGGGCTGCGTCCGGACTTATAAAACCTTCAGGGAGGGAAAACCCTGAGGTGATTTTTACCACATGACCCCTCGGTGGGGACCAGTTCTGAGGTAACTCAGAAAACGCGGGAAATTCGGGTCTGTGCCGGTTCTTGTTTACCACTTTGAGGTGGAGGGCCCCTCCCTGTCCTAACCTGGTATACACACTCCATATTGTTTTTCACAAACAGCCTAGAAATATCATTTAACATTATCCAATAAACATACAAATTTGTGTAATTAACATATATACATAATTGATTACCCTCACCAGAAGGTCAGCCTACATCATCCACTGTAATCCCCGGGTTCTTTTCTGCTGAACTGCTACTTAGCCAGTCAGTCCCCAGCCCGTAACAATGTTTGGGATTCTTCCGTCCCGAGTGCAGGATGGAAGCCAGTAGCCTTATAAAAAGGCAGCCAGAGTGAATGCAGTGAGCAGCCAACAGGGGAGTTTTCCTGGGAGTTTGCCCTGGCTGGAGTCCCATAGTGTGTGGTGGTGTTTTTTTTCTTGTGTTTTGTTTCTCTTCTGCCCTTCAAGCGGGCAATAAAAACAATATGGGTACGTCTACACTACCCTCCTAGTTCGAACTAGGGGGGGTAATGTAGTCATACGGAGTTGCAAATGAAGCCCAGGATTTGAATTTCCCAGGCTTCATTTGCATAAAGCCGGCCGGCGCCATTTTTAAATGCCGGCTAGGTCGGACCCCGTGCCGCGCGGCTACACGCGGCACGGACTAGCTAGTTCGGATTAGGCTTCCTATCCAAACTAGCTGTACGCCTCGTGGACCCCCGCCCCTGAACCCCCTGCTTACCTGGTTCCGCAGGGAAGCTGCTTTCTGGCTCGACTAAGAAAACAAAATGGCCACCGGCAAAAAGCCAAAGCTTACGCCCTAAAGAGCTGAAGCAAGGGGAAGCAATGCCTTCCCTGGGTCTTAGTACTCAACCTCTTCTCTTCCTATCCCTATTCTGACTCTGCACACACTTAAAGGGGCCATGCTGTTTAATTTAATTAATTAATTAATTAATTTATGCTTAACTCTTGGGGTCTTTTTTTTCTTTCGGTCAAAAACTTTGGTCTACCCCCCCCTTTTTTTTCCCCATCAACAGAATTTTTTCCCCAGTGATTTTTTTTTTGCCGGGGGGAGAAGGGGTTCGGTATTTTTGGTTAAACCATCTGGCAACCCTACATACAATGGGATTTTAAAAGTACCTAAGCAGTGTATGTGTTTAACTGCCATTGATTTCATTAAGATTTTGGTGCCTAGCTTGCTGGGTGCTTTGGAAAATCCTACTAATGGATATATTTAGTTATTGGTCATGAAATATTTTTGAATGTCATGCCTGAAAATATGAGCTCCAGTTCTGTAATCAGCTTTGTGTGGGCAGACCCTTCCCCCCGCCTGTGGGTCCCTCTGGGATATTGCATTGACTTCACTGCAGTCTTGAAGATCTATTATCTGACCGTGTCTGCACTGTGCTTAGAAAAATTGAACTACTGTTCAGATCAGTGGCAAGTGTGAGAACATCAAGCATTCAGCTACTAGATTGTTAGTTCTGTTTCTCAGATTGCTTCTGATGTACTCCCTCTGTAAGGTAATATAGTTTTGTGCATAAAACGGTTTTTTTTATTGTAACTCGTGGGGGTGGTGTGGCAGTGTTAATGGCTAGTAACATTTCTGGTAGGGGTAACTCCTTTAGAACCATTCTGAGGTGAGATTACAGTTCACAACTCTCTGTGAAAGGTGGGATTAAGAAATTATCAGCACTGACTCCTGTCAGGTCTAAAGAAGGGAGAAAATGGCTGATTTCAATAAAGAAGGTAAAACTAGAAAGAGGTCTGTAATCTCTAAGATTCACTCTGAAATGAAAGCTGGGCAATAAACTGGCATCTTTTCCTACAAAGAAATTGAAGGAAGACCAGGTCCCTGAGCCAGCAAAAGTGCGTAAGCACATGCTTAATGTTAAGCACATGAGAACTCCACTAAACTCAATGGGACTACTCATAAACTTAACTTTAAGCACATTTTGAAGTGCTTTGCTGGATCCAGTCACAGGATGGTGAAGCTAAAATGTTGTTTTCCACCTAAAATTTCCACCCAGTGACATGCTCTGCTAAGTATTAGAGTATTTTACTTAATTTTCTAGCATATCTGTCTAGTTCTGTCTAAACTATCTATGAATTAGGGCCTGAATCCACATTTGTTTCTTTTTTGTGGGGGCAGGGGATACCATCAGAGACTTTATAATTACTAATCTGATAATATAATTCCACTGTAGGCAATCAATATTTACTGCTTGATAAAGGTTGCTGTAGGCAGAGGAAGGTTGCTATAGATAGATGAATTGTACTTTACTGAATATGTTTGCCACCTTTGGTTATCCTAGCAACCTGGAGGGGTTTAGCCTTGCTCCTGCATTGATAACCAAGTGCTTAAATGCACCAAAGGCTGAAATGTAATCCATTCTTTAGGATAATGTTGTGGCAACAGAAACTCCACCAACAAGATACACTTTTGAACCTCATGGCAGGGGGGCATGAATAGACATTGCTCTTTTCGCTCTTGTAGGATATGCATTGCAGTGTTTTTTTGGAACCATTTAAAACTGGATTTTTCACCATGAAGAGACACCTGAACTGTTCTGTCAGCAGCTCTGAAATCTGGAGCTCGCATCTAGTCCTTGCACTCGGCATCCCTCAACTGATCATTAATATAATCTCTGTGATCTTCAACTGCGCGGTCATCATTATCATATTGTCCACCAAGGATCTGCACAAACCCATCTTCATTCTTTTCTGCAATTTGGCTTTTTCTGATCTCCTCACCAGCTCTTCGGGCTTTTGGATTGCCATGCTGTTCATCACTAATCCGGAAAGCACCATTTTTGGATCAAAGGATATCCTCATAGCCTACGCCTTTTATACTGTATCTATTCTGTCCACCATCTATAACTTAGTCAGCATTGGAATTGAGCGCTACTTGGCTGTGGCAGGAAGCCTCAAGTTGAGGTACCGAGTTTCCAGAAACCAGACACTGGCTGCAGCTCTAATTAACTGGGCACTTGCCTTCTTTTTGGGCTGCATGCCTCTAGTGGGGTGGAACTGCTTGCACAACCAAGAAAACCTCTCGGCTCTCTACAGCCCCTTCTGTGTTGACTATCTCATCTTCATCACCATTCCCAACTGTGTGGTGGCCTTTCTCTTGCCTCTATTCACCTACCTTCGCATCATTGTCATCCTGAGAAAACAGAAGTTCACCCTGGGAGCATGTGGACAAGTCAATGGCACCTACAAATCAGCTGAAGTCCAGGTTGCCAGAACAAGCATCTTCATCTGGCTTCTGGCCTTGGTTTCCTATGCACCTTTTTTTGCAGGAGTTGTGTTTGATGCAGCCCATAGCCTGTGCCCTGCTGATTTGTATCCAAGTGTCTATGTGTTTCGAAATTGCACTGCTATGCTGATCACCATGAATTCTTTGGGGAACCCCATTGTCTACACACTTCAAGTCAAAACACTAGGGAATAAGCTCAAATTCTTGAAGTGCCCTGCCAACAACCGCATCCATGTGCATGCTATGGGGAACTTCTGATTTTGTCTGGAATTGGTAGGCAGCAGGTTTAAAACCGACAAAACGAAGTATTTCTTTACACGGTGCATAGTCAACCTGTGGAACTCCTTGCCAGAGGATGTTGGGAAGACCAGGACTTTGACAGGGTTAAAAAAAGAACTAGATACATTCATAGAGGTTAGGTCCATCAATACTTATTAGCCAGGATGGTTAGGAATGGTGTCCCTACCCTCTGATTGTCAGAGGCTAGGAACGGATGAAAGGAGAGGGATCACTTGGTGATTCCCTGCTCTGTTCACTCCCTTCTGGGGCATCTGGCATTGACTACTGTTGGATGACAGGATACTAGGCTAGATGGATGTTTGGTCTGACCCAGTGTGGCCGTTCTTATGTTCTTATCAAACTAAGATAACACGTTCCGTATATTCACATAGGTATCTTATATAAAATTGCTGCAAACATGTAGCTCTTCACACGGACAATGGTTCTGTCTTGCTAAACTACCCTCAGGTTTTAACATGCCAAAGATTGGCCTAGAAACATGGGCCAATTTCAGAACTAGGGCAAGTGGACAGCTCCCTGTTACTACTTTGGCAGAGACAGTGCTGGATCCACTTCACACTTCCATAGGCTCTTCTATCACTGATTTCAGATCTTCAGGTCCCTACTTTGTAATGCAGCTGTGAAGAAATTCCTACTGAGCGCACAGGGGAGTGAAAACCCCAAACAAAGAACTTTTTATTCAGTTAATCCTTAACCCTGAACACAGGAATTGTGAGCAGTTGTGAGTTATTTATCTGCTGACGGTTTTCCGCGTATGCCTGCTTTGTTTCTACCTGTATTGGAAACATAAGACTTATGTTAAGCAATAAAAATAAATCCATGGGTACTATTTGCTTTGCATTTGGAAATGTGCTTCTGCTGTGCTTGCTTAACTACCAAACTTGCATTCTTTTTGTATCGTTTTGTGTTTTTTGAAGGACACTAAGTGTTTGCAAGAAAAATATTTAGAAATGCTAGAAAAAATCAGTTCAAGCTATTTATTGGAACCAGTCATTTCTGTGCAAAAATGTGTTGTCTGTTATTAATCTAGCACTCGCCATAGTTTACTCTCGTTCTTTTAATTGCAACATATAGATTGCTCCTTTTTCTGAAACATTTGTGACCCTGTCCTTCTACCTTTTCAATTCTTCATTTTTTCCACTTCACATTTTAAAATGTGAACTATAGCCTTAGTTGAAAAACACACTTTTTCACACTTCAGTTTTACAATATCAAGGCTAGGGATGTTAAATATAGTTTAATCAACTAATCGACTGGTCAATGGATTTTCCATCTCTAGTCAATAAGCAGAGAAGCTGCAGTGGAGTTAGCTCCTAGTCCTGACAGCTAATCCTGTTGCAGTTCTGCCTTTTAAATGTATTAGGAACCAGAAGGCTCTTAATACATTTAAAAGGCTGAAGCACAGCAGGGGAGACCCAGCACAAGCTGGGACAGCTGATTCCCGGCTCACATCCGGTCCCCGCTTTTCCCCTGCCCCCTGCGGAGATGGTGCTGGGGGGAAAATGGCTTTTAAGCTGGTTCTCCCCAGCACTGGCTTCTGCTCCCCCCCTTGTGGCCTCTGCTAGAGGCAGCAAACTAGTCAACAATCTGATAAGCTTTTGCTTATCGGATAGTCGACTAGTCACTTACATCCTTAATCAAGACTGTAATGCAATTAATTGTGTAGCAAGAAAATTGTTCTTTTTAATAAAAACTAATTTTATAATTAATATTAAACTTTGTTCATCTACATCTAATTAAAAAAAGGGAGGACTCCTCCCCTCCCAAAAATTGGGTATGTGAAGAGTTTATTTTTTCTTATTTCCTTAGATAGACTTCCCTAGACAAACTATTTTTTCAACTTTGCCCTTTATTGTTCACAATAAACTTTTAGGATATGGTTATAAGTTTTGAGTGATCTTAGATATATGGTTGAGATTACAGAAATCTGCACTTTGACATTTTTTTAAATGGACGTTATCAGGTGCATGAAAAAATTATATGGATTCATAGTCACAGAACAAACACACATAATCCAAACAAAATCATCATTTGAAAATCAGCCCTTGAATTTCTGGTTTGGATTTTTGAGGAGAAAAAAAAGCTATTCATTTCTATACATTTCAATGTGATTTTTATTTGGTTTTAGGTGACTTTGTTTGCTTGTTGTTAAGTTTTACTCTGAAATCTCTAAAGTCTTCATGTCTAAGGAAAATTTCACACATCAGTCTTATAGTCAGAGGGTCTGAAACACCATGTTTAATTTAATTTAATGTGATCATAACATGCATCAATTAAATTAACATACAAGTAAGTTTAACAGTATTTACATAACAACAGTTTAGTGTTTTATGTACTGTATATTGGTAGCAAAAGCCATCTCAACTGTGACTCTAAATATGGAAAGTCTGGGAGGTGCTTAATATTTTTTTAAACAAATATTTTAAAGCTATCCACTACTTTTTAAGGAAAGGTCAGTAGCAGGCAATCAATGAAGAATAATGTATTAAAATAAATGATGTAAAAGCATCATGTAGGTCAGGAAGGACAAATTCTCTTCCTTTTCTTTTAAATATTACTGTAGTCTTAATTGCATTTCAGAGATTATCTGCAAACATCTAAACATCTGTTCCTCACTAATTATATTTCAACCTGAGTTGTAAATCCGGAGATAAAAACCAAACCTACTAAAGGAGAGATTATAAAGATAAAACTCTGCAGGGGGGGGAAAGGCTGATATTTATTTTGTTTAGCTGCATTAACATCCATGTTGACCTTGGCAAGCTGAAATGTAGCAACCAGCATATTTAACTTACCATTTATCTTTGCTGGGGATTGTAAAAGATACTGAAATTTAAAAGCAATATAACATAACAGTTGGACTCTATCCAGAGGTCCCTTCACAGAAAAGTTAATCTCAAACCTATTGATTCATAAATAAAAGTTTGTACGGCTACAGAACCTTTTGGTCCGGCACAATGCAGTTCTTACTAAAGTCAATAGCAAAACTCACATGGACTTAACCTGAAGGAAATGCCAAGTGGTTACAGAGGTTACAGGAGTGGGGAACATTTTTTGAGTTGGGGGTCAGTGACCCACAGAAAAATCAGTCGGGGGCCGCACATAAGTGAAACCCCTCCCCCAAACCTTCACTGACATGGCCTGCAACCAAGAAAGAGACTCTCCACATGCCCCTTGCACACCAGAGCCTCGGAGGCTCAGGGCAAATACATTATATGTGCTCCAGCCCCATGATGGGTGGGGGGATGGAGCACCAGCGTGGGCTTCCCAATGATTGAGGGAGAGAGCCCTGAGCCTTGAGGGCTGGATCCAGGCAAGCTGGGGGCCACATCCAGCCCCTGGTCCTTAGGGTCCCCACCCTGGGTTAAAGCACTGGGATTAAGAGACTGGAGTTCTCTTTCTGGCATTGCCACTGAGGGGTGACTTTAAACAAGTCACTTCACTTCCCTGAGCTTCTAAGTCCCCCTCTCATGCTTTGTCTATTTAGACTGCAAGCTAGTCATGGCAGGAATAGTGTGTGTGTGTACAGTACCTAGTCATGGCAGGAATAGTGTATGTGTGTGTGTGTGTGTACAGTGCCTCGTCATGGCAGGAATAGTGTGTGTGTGTACAGTACCTAGTCATGGCAGGAATAGTGTATGTGTGTGTGTGTGTGTACAGTGCCTCGTCATGGCAGGAATAGTGTGTGTGTGTACAGTACCTAGTCATGGCAGGAATAGTGTATGTGTGTGTGTGTGTGTACAGTGCCTCGTCATGGCAGGAATAGTGTGTGTGTGTACAGTACCTAGTCATGGCAGGAATAGTGTGTGTGTGTGCGTGTGCGCGCATGTGTGTGTGTGTACGTGTACAGTGCCTAGTCATGGCAGGAATAGTGTATGTGTGTGTGTGTGTGTGTGTGTGTGTGTACAGTGCCTCGTCATGGCAGGAATAGTGTGTGTGTGTGTGTGTGTGCACACATGTGTGTGTGTGTGTGCACACATGTGTGTGTGTGTGTGTACAGTGCCTAGTCATGGCAGGGATAGGGGGGGGGTGTGTGTGGGGCGG